CCCTCTACCCTTCCCTGCCTCATCATTTCATGACCATGGTTGATTATGGAGCACAACTAATCTGGTGGATGCAAGGCCGGGCAGAGAAGTCGCCGATTTGAGTTCATATTTCTTCTTTTTGTTTCAAAAGTTTAATGTTTTTTAAGTCGAAAGAAAATAATATTTTGAAACCAAGTATAGGCAAAATGAGACCAATAGGATGTTTTGGAAGCATGGTGTAATGAAAACATACATATGTGCAAATAGAACCACCCCAGTACTTCATTCCAATGAAAAACGCCAACGCAATTATTGAATTACATGCACACTTTATATTTTTATTTTAAGCTAAAATTTGAGATGACATTCTTTCTGTATGAACATTGATGACATACATATCATCTTATGGATGTACATTGTTGTAGAGCAGTAACTAAATCTATGGTGAAAACCATAATTAAAAATTATTGATAACACAAAAGGGAGGGAGATCTTTAGAGAAATAGCACATCAGATCAGACATTCAAACCTATATATACATTTACATTTCCATCAGCAGGATGGGATTTCTGGACTTAGTCAGAACTCTCAGCAATGCCCTTGCAAACATCTCCTCTGCAAAGTGGGCATACACTGTAGCATTCGAAGAACATAAGAAGTCGTCATATATACGAATAGAATTAATCATAAGCAAGCACTTGGTAAAATGAGAGGAGTATGATGGAAGTAATGAACGTACCCTCGCTTTTCTTTTAGCCATTTGTCAACGCATTCCATATGGAATTCATGACAACAAGGGAGAACTCTTATTTTATCTCCTTCATTATACTCAGACAAGCAAATGTAACACCTGTTCGTAGGACCAACATCAGAAAAGCTCTCTCGAACCACAACAGACTTTATAAGGATTAAAACATTGCTCCATAGAAACATTTGTATCATGGGGATGTAATATGTATAGGTAGGTTCAAGTTTGAACCGATAAATCCTCAATCTATCTGTCAAAAAAGGTATTTTGAAGTTGGAATGAGCACTGAGAAATGACGCTACTGAGCTACTCTATGTTTTCAATCGTTTTTCCTTTTAATTTGAGTTAATCTATTTAAGTAATTGAGGACAAAAGAGTTCATAACATTTTTCTGGCCTTAAAAAATTCCCCACATTTCTAAAGAAGCAATAAGCATTTTCAAAACTTGGATACACTTTGTGGAACCTTTTGTACCCTATATAAGGTTTAGTTCTACATTACAGATATTTACAGATGTCTATACATAATTTACCGTAAAGTCTTTTCCATAACTTTTTATTCTGTTTTACATTAAATGTTATGCAAATTTTTTAAAAAAAAAAAATCATGGGATTCTATAATTGTGTAGCATAAAAATTCTTAGGGACCTTGGCTTTTCCATAACAAACTAAGCATTTATGCCCAAAAACTGAGCTACATCCAAAGCGCTGCCTACATGAGTTCACATACCTAGGGACCTGAACATGATTTTTCCTTATCAGTCATCTATATCGATCCTCATACACTTCCTAATCCTAACTACATGTGCATTCGGCTATTACTATCATGTATGCACATATTAACAATGTTAACGATTTAGTTTTTACACTTAACTAACATCAAGTCCCTTCAACACAGACATGCCAGTGTTAAGTCAAAGGTCTAAGTAACAGGGCCAGGCTCTTCCATATATTCATTCCTCTTTTTTTTTCCATTTCAACAACAAAAAAAGGAGGGGAATTTGGGCAATGCCTTTGGGTAAGTTGATAAAGAATAAGAAAAATAAGAGAGCAATCTAAATATGTGAAGGAAGATTCCCAAGAACACTTCTAGTTATGTCCATATGCCATGATATTTCGACATCATTAACATTGAAAACCGTCACATAGTTGCTACAACTAACTAGATTACCTGATTTTATAGCTATGCTTTCAAAAGTAATAGTGTAAGCTTCAATATTCATATAAATGAATGTACTTTAACATTAAACTCAAACAAGAAAACTTACTCTTGTGCATCTTGGGCCTTGCTCTCAGTGATCTCAGACTTATGATTTCTGAGAGGAAACGAGTTTACAACATTCTCAGGAGCTGGGAGAGAGAGCACAGATTGTGAAAGTGACAATGGAACATGACGTATTTCATCCAAGATCTGCATCCAAATAAATTATGAATGTTCTTATAGATAAAAGTTAAAATCAAAATGACTACACCAGAGAGAGAGAGAGAGAGAGAGTTGTGAAAGCACTAGTGGTTTGTACAACTTATGATCTAAATCTGTATTCCCAACAGTTCATTCGCTTTAACTATATAAATGAGTATTTAACTTCAAAAATAATGAACACACGTGCGTGTGTATACAGCTAAAAGGGAGAAAAGGGAAAAGGGAAAAGGGTTGTCTGGGATGCAAAAAAGCGGAAACTTAGAACCACAAGGATAGAAAGAACAGTGAAAGTTCTAAAGAAATTGAAGACTAAGTTCGGATGTAAATCTCAAAAACATTTACAACGAAGATGATTACGACTGTTATGCCAAACTTCAATCAGATAAAAAATATTCTGAAAAATGAAGTTTGATAATAGCTGAGGAAAAAAAAAAAAGGTTATTGACCTCATGAAAACACTTAATAACTTAATAAATAAACATTAAATTATGGTCCCTCATCATAAATAAATAGACTTAAAATTACCACCGGAGCTATGGCTTGAATAGTAATGGGTGAAATGGGAAAGGTTGACTTAGATCAATTTTTAAGGGAAATATTGTCCATTAAACATATTTGGAAAACCTAATCCAACCGGGAAACCATACAGAAAAATTCTTTGAAAGGAATTCACCTCGTTTAGTGCCTCAGTAAGCATGATTATCCGCAAAACAGTTGCATGAATACTGGAAATTTCAGCCATCAAGGATGTTTCACAGGAGCATGTACCATTAGCATGGAGCCTGGATGAACAGAAAGACCTTGGACCTCTCTCGTTAACAAGACCACCATGTAGCCTTTCTGAAAGCTGTAAGATAATAAAGTGAAAATTGTAACTACAACAAAAGATGTCACAGGTGAAATCTGCCAAACATACCAGAAACAAACAAGAAAAGAAGAAAATTTGAAATGAAAAATTATTACAGCAATGCATTCATTGCATCAACAATAGTGTTTCAGAAGAGCTATTACATTTGATGGATAATTCAAGTTATGAGTAATCCACAATACAAAGTTGACGGCAGGAGAATGGGTTGTTAGTTCCACAGGCAATTCATTTGCAAAGAATTGTATGCTCATAAGTCACAAGCAACCATCAGGATAGAAGTATCTTATAAATGACAGAACATGTGCATTTACAATGCAAGTTTTATATTTGATTATGAAGAAAATTTAAGAAGCAAACATCCCCTGCCTAATCCTTGCTGATAGCTGGAATTTATGCCACCAACTTTAAACAATTGTTCTACAGTGACTGCATTGTAATGGAAAAGGACTCATCGGGAAATTAATAGCTTTTTGTTGATGGAGAACACCACTAGCAGCCCCAGACTGGAAAAACCGCTTCCTAGGGAGTTCAACTTGATCATCACATTCCGGCAGCCACCAAAGATTATCCAGTACTCGAAGCCTTACCCTACCTCTTCAATATCTCAGGGGAAAGAAAGGTAATGTCCTAGCCGATACTATCTGTTCTTATACAAGAATGCATATGTTAAATGCAGGTTGCAACTGGTTCAAAGTCAGATGCCACGAACATTATAATATATATCAAGGTCCAAAGATCCAGAGCTAAATAGCAACAGCCCCAGTGGGTTGTAAATTACCAAATTCCATGGAATTTGGAATTTGGAAGTTCAGAATCTAGAACTATACCATTATAACAAAGACATCTTTATCTGATAGCATAATTGTCAGGAAATCTTACATTTAGATTGTCATGCCACTACTAAAGAACCACCAGCATACATTTCTCAAGAAGATGCTTTAGGTGACAAAAATGGTGGAATCCTAAGTAATACCTCATACCTTGATTGCCAACAGCGTCCACTTTTGTAATTTTTTCTAGAAAACCTATGATGCTTTAATGCATAATCAAAGAAGAAAACCTATGTCAATGCTCGGCGACAAAGGAAATTGAACCAGAAAAACAAAAGTGATTTTATTGTTTATGAAGTTCTTTGCAGATTTTGGAAGCAAGTGGTTCCTAAGATTCATACTTTCGGTAAAGAACTGTGTTATTAAAGCCAAGTCCTTAAAAGAGGCATTAGACCTATAGGATACAAAAGTAGAAGACCCTTTGCAGGCAAGAGAGTCTGCATATGATTCTTGTTTCTAACTACAATTATGCACCAATGAAAGGAACAACCAAGCCTTAACGTAGTTCTCAAGTTATGCGTTCATCATTTCCAAACCAAGTAACAGCAACTGAGAAAATCTCCTCTGAAGCTAATAATGTAAATATATCCTTACTTGAAGTTCGAACTTCCATGAAAGTTTAAACCGCAGGCAGATCCTACAGCTTTTCATTTCCAGAAAGCATTACAAATACAAAGAAAATAATCCCAACAAACAAACAAACAAGCACATACAAACTTCAGGCACAGAGAAAGACACCATTTTTCTTTCCCCCAAATGGATAAGAAAATAGAAAAATGATAAATTCAAACTAGTGAAAAATGATAACTAAGCTTGACCCAGATCATTAAATTATATCAGGACGAAAAATTTCGGACTTTTAGTACCTCAAGGGCAGTTACAGAATCAGAGTCGCCACCACCTGTGAGAAATGAAGAGGATGGTTTCGACCCCATGCGACCAGTACTCCAATCAATCCTCTTCTTTCTTCGGTTTTCTTCAGTGCAACTTACCTACCTACCACAACGCGACTGACGCAGCTAGAAAGTCGAACTTGAAGAACGGGTGTGCCACATAAGCAAATTGACATGGTACGCCAGGCCAGCAAGAAAACGAAACGCGGAAAAAGCACACATGATATTATCAGATTTTATTTTGATCTCTTGAAGGTCCACTTTGATTTGATCCATGTAATTTACTTTAATTTTAAAAGTGTCGTTTGGCTTTCATTTAGGTTTAAGGATATAAGTATGTTTACATACGAGGAATGTGGGAAGTTATGAATTAGAAATCAGAATCCTTTTGATATGCAATATCCATATGTTAGAAAATATAGAAGAAACAAGAATTAAAACCATTTCCATACAGCTGCCCATGCGTCGTTATTTTGCTTCCGTCTAGGATATCCACTCATGACACAAAGTAAAGTTCACCTCTTTTGCTAAACAAAGCTATATGCTCTTAAGGAGGAATTAAGTAGATGGCATTGTTAAGCTTCCACCAAAGAAAAAAAGACCGACATTATTAAGCAAAAACGTGAGTTTTAAGACTAAAATAAGTTATATTTGGATGAAAATATACTTTCAAGTTCGTCACGTGTCACTATTTCACAAAAAAATTGTTCGAATGCAATACTACTAGACTCCTAGTAGGGGCCAAATTAATATGTGAGTAAAGAGATGAGGATTTGATATGAATTGAGAGTTCGTGCACTAAAATGAGGACTTTTAAATAAGGACCAATAAAGTTAAAAGAAAAGAGAAGAAAAAAAAGAGGAGAAAAAGAAGAATTGGGGGTTCAATTAGTCTTAACTTATCCTTTACTCTAACAATTTCTTTTTAAAAGAACACATAAGAGAGGAAAGAGAAAATCGGCCTGTTCAGTCTTTACCTTTCATCCCTCTCCCTCTCTCTCTCTCCTCTCCTGGCCTGTTTCACTCACTCTCTAAATTCGCGCATCAGGTATGCTTTAGGATTACATTTATTAGGGTTTTCCTTTTGTTGTTGTATCATACAAGGAGGAATCTGCTCGGGTTTCGATTTTGGGTTTTTGTATGGATTTCGAATTCACATTGACAAAGTTGAGATTGGGTTTGTTTACTATGAAAAATCTGACGGTCGTGGGTTAGGGTTTGAGTTTGTCTTCCTTAATATGATTTGTGTACCTGATTGTTTCTCTTGGATGTTTTCTTCGTCTCCGTCTTTAACTACTATTATTTGGGGTTCAAGCATCTCGCTTTGTATGCTTAAAGGGACTGATTGGGTACTGCTTCAGTTTGATTTTTAGGTTTGGTCTCAAAATATTTTCGTACTTGGGAATGCATATTTAATGGAACTGGGTGTTGTTTTTAGTTATATTTTCATATGTACGGTTTGAATTTGGGTTTATGGGGGTCACTTGTTTCATAGGGTTCTTTTTGGCTGCTTGTTTGCTAATTTCTTAAGAAATTTAGAGTGGTCCATCTCAGTTCCTTGTGGATATGTTTGGAAGGAAAAGAGGTGGAAATGGACGTGTATGGTTCAGATTTTGTTTGCTCTTCACAATGTTAAACTGAAACTGAAAGTAATCTGATAATCTGATGTAATTTTTCCTTTCCCATGAAATCATGTTCTTATTGGCTTGTTGTATCATTGTAGGTAAAGGTTTCTTCCATACCAGAAGGACTCTACTAGGGTTTTATTCACCAATCCATCTTCGAAAATGGTAAGCCATTGAACCCCCATCTCCCAGATCTGAAAGGCCCTAATTTTTCAATTATTGACACTGCTTGATCCTGAGTCGTGGTTTTGTAAAATTGTGGAATTTTCAGGAAGGAGGAGGCAATTTAGATGAGCAAATAGAGCAATTTCTGAATGTAGAGAAGAAGATGAGGACCGCTGGTGACGTGGCAGGAACCAAGAAAGCAGCCACTGACATTCTTGAGCTCTGCTTCAAAGCAGGTGCTTGGAAGACCCTCAATGACCAGATTGTTGTCTTATCAAAACGCCGTGGTCAGCTAAAGCAGGTATACCCATAGTAAATCTTAGATTCTTTGTCATCTTTGTTGTGTCATTGTTTAAGTTTTAAGTATCTGTATGTAACCAGTCATTAAAATGATTTTTGTCTCTGATAAATGGTGCCTGTACAGTGTACAGTTAGTTATTGTTATCCATTACAGTAAATTTTGTGCTATTGAGTATATTTTAAGAAGAGACTTGAGTTTTGGTCATCTCTGTATGTATTTAACAATCTTTGTCTTGGGAATGGTTATTTTTGTTTCTATTTGTTTGTACAGTGGAAGACAACACTTACCAAGTATTAATGAAAAGGCATGTTTACAACTTTGTAGTTATGTGAGTTCTTGTGAACTTTTTGAGGAGTACTGTTGTGGTTGGGACATATGTGGTTGTGGGCTCTTTAATTCTTAAGAAAAAAAAATTGTGTATGTGTATGCATTTAATTCTGTAAATACATATTTTTCATCTCTTGATTAGAGAATATTGATATTCTTGCTGAAGACTTCTTTGGATTGCACATTTTATCTGCATTGTCTTAGTTTTAATCAAGTATTGCCATTATTTTATATTAGGTTTTTTTTTTTTTTTTTTTTTTTGTGGTGAGAATATGTTTTAGTTTTTGTTGATTCCATTCCTAGAAGTAATGTGCTTTTATTGTTATCACTGATTAGGCTGTCTGTTTCAATGCAGGCTGTAACTGCAATGGTCCAGCAAGCAATGCAATATATTGATCAGACACCAGATCTTGAAACTCGTATAGAGCTTATTAAGACACTAAATAATATTTCTGCTGGGAAGGTAAACTGTATTAAAAAGCTTCAACTGCCTCCATTGAAATGATGCAGTTTTAACTTTTTATGTATTTTTTCGTTAAATTTTTTAATAAGCTCTATTGTTCTTTAGATATATGTTGAAATTGAGAGGGCACGTCTAATAAAAAGACTTGCAAAGATTAAGGAAGAGCAAGGGCTTATTGCTGAAGCTGCTGATTTGATGCAAGAAATTGCGGTTAGTATGGAATTATAATCTTTGGAAACCCTTTCTCTCACTCCTCAAACAGAAAAGAAAAAAAAAATGCTGAAAACATTCCAGAGCACTCATTTCTAATCATTAAGCTTTACAGGTGGAAACATTTGGTGCTATGGCAAAAACTGAGAAGATTGCTTTCATTCTTGAACAAGTATGGGTTAATTTCCTTTCGGATCACGCTTAATATTTACCACTCATTCATTACAAGCACAAGTATGGAAATATTATTTCTGATTCTTATTTTGAGTCATTCTGCATTTAATTTTGCAGGTTCGTTTGTGCTTAGACCGCCAGGACTATGTTCGTGCTCAGATACTATCAAGGAAGATTAGTCCAAGAGTTTTTGATATTGATCCTGCAAAAGAAAAGAAAAAACCTAAAGAAGGTGACAATATTGTGGAAGAAGCTCCTGCTGATATTCCATCACTCTTGGAGTTGAAGCGGATCTACTATGAGTTAATGATACGGTAGGGTGTCTTTATCCTTTTCCTATGTTTTTATTGTTCTGTATTTGTTCACTTTTTTTTTTCCCACTGTTTGCTAAACCTCCACTACTTATTTAGATTTTTGTTTCATGAGACATCAGATTT